CTATGCTCTTGATATCTGCCTATGGGGGTAGGCAACCTAGAATTCCTGAAAGCCCTCCAACCCTACCCAGTCCAGGATTTGGCCCAGAATCCCCTGTTGGGGGTGGAGGGAGCCAGAATAGCTGGATCAGCTCATACCATTGAAGAACTTAATGATGTCAGTGAAGTCCATGTTGTTGTCACGTATAATCTCTCTGTAGGCCTCCACCAGGGCCAGGGCGATGAACAGGACAAAGTGCTCTGATGAGATGTGCCTGGCAGCCCAGATGACCTCCCACACTGCAAACACGTCCTCATACAGCAGCTCTGGGGACAGCAAGGAGCTGGTACTTACCATCCCAGGCACAGGGCTTGGTGGAGACACATGGAGTCAGCTTCAGCAGCTGGATTCTCCCCAATACACACACACACAGCCTGGTTCAGCCTAGATCCAGAATGGCCATTCTATCCCCTACCCCAGAACCGGTCTATCTCCTACCCTTGTCTGGTTATTTCTGCAGAATTTGTGTGACACTCCCTACTTTTAGTGTTCAGGGAAGGTGTAGTTTGAACAAGGTTCCAAAGACTATTGCCTGTGACAAAGTGTGCTGCCTGTGCTATGGAGATGCCTCACAAGCATGCAAGAAAGCACGGGCCCAGACAACCTTAGTAAAACTCAGGCTAAGCACACAGTGCGCAGTGACGTTAATACCAATGACTTAGGGGAAGAGGGCTCTCCTGCTGCCTGACCTCGGTCCCATGATCTTGCTATGTAGCTGACATTCCTTCAACTGTCCTGTTGCAGCCTCTAGAGTGCTGGGATTTGTAGGCATGTGCCATGATGCCCAGCCCCACCCACTTCTTACCTCTTTTAAAATCCAGCAGGAACCAGCGGTAGCAGAAGTAGAAGTGGGTATAGTCTCCATTTTGATGCATGAGCTCGAACAGCTCCGAGTCCAAGATCTCATGGTGAAGAGGGAGAGATACTGACCGAGCTGCTTCTCCGCCACCCTCCCCACCACCCAGGGTCTACCTCAGCCATTCCACTGCACTGCCATACCTACCCACTGGCAGCTGTGTCCTACTGTCCTTGTTCATCTGTTCCCCCTCGCCCTCTCCCCTCCCCTTGCTGCATTCTTTTTGCAGTTACTCCAGTTTCTGTGCATTTGATTTAATCACCAACCCACTTCTCACCATAACACACAGGCACAAGCATGTGTGCCCATTGCTACTCAGTTTGTAACACAGACAGCAGTACTTCTGTGTGGTGCTAGGGATGCATCCCAAACCTAGGGCTTTTCAAGTGCTAGGCCAGCACTTTGCCTGAACTAGAGCTTTGTTTTTAAAAATTTAAATTAATTCATTCTTTTAATGATTTTATGTACAATGGTGTTTTGCCTGCATCTGTGCCTGAGGGTATTGGATCCCCTGGAACTGAAGTTACAAACAGTGGTGAGCTGCCCTGTGGGTCCTGGGAATTGAATGTGGGTCCTCTGGAAGAGCAGCCAGTGCTCTTAATCACTGAGCCATCTCTCCAATCCCCAACTAATTAATTCAGCATTTGTATATGTGTGCCTACATGTGTTCATGGGTGAACATGGGCGTGTGGGCACACTATGTGTGTGTACTGACCAGGGGACAGCCTCAGGCGTCATTCCACTGGTGCTATCCACCTAGCTTTGTTACTTTTTGAATACAAGGTCTTTCACTGGCCTGGAACTCAAGTAGTCTAAGTTGTCTGGCCTGGGGATCCACCTGTCTCCCCCTTCCCAGCACTAGGATCATAAGCCATTGTGTGGCTTTAAGAAGAAAAGGAAACTACTGGTCCTAGGTATCAAACTGAGCTCCTTGACTAACTAAAAAATCAGCCCTGTTGACTTACTGTTTATTATATTCATTTGAGATGGGTTCTCACTCTGTAGCCTAGGCTCACCTTGAATTCATAGCAACCCTGATCCTGCCTCAGTCTCCCACGTGGTGGAATTTCAGGCATGAATTGTGATGCCCAGCTACTTTTATTAATACATGCATTTGAATGTGTGTATGTGTGAATTAATTTAATTAATTTTAAGATATCTCATATAGTCAGGGCTGGCCTCAAACTCACCATGTAGTCAAGCTGGCCTTGATCTCCCTGCCTCCATATCCTAAGTGCTGGGAATACAAGCATGTGCCTGGGAGCAATGATTTTTTTTAAAATGAAGAAAATTTAGCTATAGCTGATGGTGCATGCTAACAATCTCCACACTCAACGAAGCAGAGGCAGGAGGATTGCTGCAAATTCCAGGCCAGCCCCCTAAGTAACTAACTTTGTGAAATGAGTTTCCTTGTAAAGGACATCTCTAGCCTCCTCGTGGCTGATGAGCAAGTCTAGCCGAGCCCAGCCCATAGGCAGTTGCAGCACTCACCTGGATGAGGGAACGCATGTTGGCAAAGTGGGTGTCCATGGCACCCCCATTGGGGAAGTTTTGACTCATCCTCTTCATGAGGTGGCTAAAGCAGCTGTAGGCCAGCTGGTCTGCAGTGAGATGGGATGAGGCCCCGTGACTCCAGGGCAGACTGGCTAACACTCCCAGCCGTCTGGACCTGGCCAGCACCCCTTCTCCCACTTCGTCACTCTGAACCCTGTTCCACGTTGGGAAGCCTTGTACCCCATCCCTTACCGTCATCCAGGATGACCAGGAGAGGTGCCAGGAGGTCACACATGCCCTGCACGTAGCCCACTTCCAGGTGCTCCCACACATAGCTGAAATGCCAGGGGTGAACACTGTGGCTGTGTCATTCTCTTTTCTTGGGGATTGCTATGGACATGGCCCCTAAAACATTTTGTTCCCCACGAGTCAGCCTTTCTTTCTACAATTCTAAAACATTTACTGTGGCTCTACCGTATGAGGCAGTGGTAACGACCAACAGCCCTTGTCCCCAAGGTACTTCAGTAGAGGACTTGGTGAGGGCAACAAAAAGCCACCACAGTTTGGTGTGAAGGGCAGGGGAATCAAAACAGCTAAGTGTCTGAAAGACCGCTAGGATGAAATGGGATGTGGGTGCTGCAGACGGAGGATGCAGTGGGTGGGGGCGGTGCTGCAGGGACAGCGCTCCAGACAGAGGATGAGACAGTATAATAGGTAAAACCATGACCGGACTGGGTCCCCACACCTCCCCATCCTGCCCCCAATGGCACCTGCACATGATGTCTCTGAGCCTCTCGAGGTTGGGGGTTGTGAAGTACCAGTAGTTTCGGTCACATCTCTGCACATCCTTGTCTATGCGGTGCAGATTTAAGGCCACGGTGTCCAGTAATTCTATCTGGAAAAGTGGTTGTCCCTCAGAGGTGAGGGTGGCCAGCCCCTCCTAGGTTGGGGCAGGAGGTGGTACCCAAAGAAAACCCAGCCAACAAGGACCCCAGAGCTCTGAGAACAGGGGTCTCTCAGTGATGCTCAAAGAGCCCTTTCGAGATAGCTACACCACCCACGCCCCCCTTGCAGTCAGGTTTCAGGGTGTCAGGACTCCTGGAGCCACTGACAGTAGTGCGAGGGAGCACCAGGGAGCACCCACGTACAGTATAGGCTGCAGCACACACAGCTGCGAGCTCCTCCCCTGCTTCAAGCTCACTGGCAGGTGCAAGCTTCTGGCCTGGTTCATGGGGCTCAGAGACAGTGTGGGCTGCAGTGGTGGGTCCTTCGGAGGAGCCTTCTTCCCCACCACCATCCTCTTCAAAGCCCACACTCTGTGCCTCATCTAGGCTGGACTGGATGCCTGAGGCCACGGAGTAGTTGCGGGAGGAAGGCAGCCCCGAGTCTGGGGAGTCAAACTCCACTGACTGCTGCTCTGCCATGCCTGGAGTCCCAGTTGCTGGTTCCTGCTCCTGCTTTGGTCTGGAATCTTCAGGGTCCTGAGGCCCTGGGGGCTCTAGGTCATCCACAGAGATAAACACCTGGGGGGGAGTAAACAGGCGGCTCCATCCAACACTCCAGGGTCTTCCCTGGATCAGAATAGAGCTGGGAAGGAGAATTTTCTTCATACTCCCTCCTCCCACCCCTGACTCCCAATACTACAGTTCCTGGGCACCAAACCTGCTTCAAATCCAGCCAGCCAAAAGAAGAAACAAGGCTTTGGGCAAAAAAAGACAGGCTGTGCCTGTGCAATGTACTCCATAGCTTCTGAGAACTGCTACAGGAAGGGGAGCAGAGGCCTAAGTTTTTTGTTTTTTCAAGACAGGGTTTCTCTTTGTAGCCCTGGCTGTCCTGGAACTCATTCTATAGATCATCCTTTTTTTTTTTAAAGAGATTCATTTTTTATTTTAAATTATGTGTCTGCATGTTGGTTTTTGCAGGCACTTGCTGAGGCCAGAGGCATTAGGAACCAAACTCTACAAAAGCATTATGTCCCCTAGCCCTGCATATGTGATCTTAGTAGCTGAGCTCTCTCCGTTCCCTAGGCCCCAACTCTTGGTAGCCAGTTTGAGCTCACTGTTGTTCTACAAAGACCTGAAGTCACAAAGGAGCCAGGGAGAGCTGCCCCAGTGTCTTGACATTGCTGCTGGAGCGTGGTGAGGAGAATAAACTGCAGGTTTTAGGAAAAGCAAGTTCTTTATTCTTGGTATTGAATGTTGAGCAGACAAGACAGGAAAACTTCTGTAGCAATACCAAGTCAGTTATGTTAGTCTTCAGACAAAGTGCAGAAGTAGAAGGAAACAATCCACTGACTGCTGGACGCTTGCCATAGAACAAGTCCGAGGGGAAATAACACACCCATGCACTGCCTTTGCCTTTTCTTTTTCTAATCCCTTAGACAATGCAGTCTAAGGGATGCTAAAAGTTTTCATTCTAGGTAAGAAATCTGAATGACTGGGTAAAGTCATACTTGTGAAACTTGGTAGCCCAGGCTGGCCTCAGCCTCCAAGTAATGTGGGTAGAGTATGCTACCACAATAGGCGCAGACTTGTCTTTATGTACTTGTTATTACTGTGTGTCTATTACTGTGTGTGGGGGTGGTGGTGGTGGTGGTGATGCATGTGTCATAAGCCATACAAGGCCAGAGGGCAATTTTGTGGCCCTCCTTTTTACCTGAAAGTAGGTTTTGGGAATCAAACTCAAGTCATCAGAATTGTGCAGAAACTGCCTTTACCTGCTGAACCGTCTCACACTCCCAGACGCAGGATTTTACGCAAACCATAGCACAAAGTGTGCTCATGAGCAAGGGATTAAGAACAGAGTGCATGGAGAGGGAGAGGGTATCTTGTTAGTTTGGACATTTTAAAGACATATTTATTTTATGTATATGTGTGTCCTGTCCACATGTATGTGTGCATCACATGCAGGTAATGCCCTTAGAGGTCAGATGCCCTGGAACTGGAGTCACAGATGGTTATAAGCAGCCATGTGGTTGCTAGGAATTGAACCCAGGAACTCTGGAAGAGCAGCCAGTGCTCTTAACTGCTGAGCCATCTCTCTGACTGAAGTTATATTCTTTGAAGTCTTGCTCTACCTTATATTTTGTTAGCATTCATGATTAGTAAAGTATAAAGAACAAACTTTATCTAAAGAAGCCTTTTCTATTTCTTTGGTTTTTGTTTTTTTTAAATAGGGACCAGTGTAACCTAGGATGGCTCTGATTCTGCTATGTAGCTAAGGCTGGCCTTGAATTTTTAATCCTCCTACTTCTACCTCTAGAGTACTGAGACTTCAGATGTGAGATATGAGACAAGCCTGGCTTTTTAATATTAATTTGTTAGTTTAGCATTCAAAGTAATGGGCTTCACCATGGCATCTTCACAGTTGTGAGTCATATTTTGGAAAGAGACAATTTGAAGCGGGAGGAACCACAAAATGGGGGCTGGAGAGATGGCTCACTGTTTAAGACACTTGTTGCTCTTCAGCACCCACATGGTGGTTCTTGATCATCCATAACTCCAGTTCTGGGGACTCTAATGCCCTCTTCTGACCTCCACAACCACCAGGCACACATGCAGTGCATAGACATACATGCAGGCAAAACACTTATACACATAAAAATAAATAAATCTTAAAAACAGAACCACTTGTTGGCTGAGCATTGTTGTACAAAACTTTAATCCCAATACTTGGGAAGCAGAGGCAGGTGGATCTATCTCTGTGAGTTCAAGGCTATCCTGGTCTACATAGTGAGTTTCAGAACTACAAAGTGAGATCCTGTCTCAATAATAAATAAACACAAGAATAAAAACAATTTATGCCAGGTAAGTATGTAGAGCCTGCCTGTAATCCCAGCTAAGGGGACTGGGGCAGGGGGCAGTTAAGGCCAATTCAAGAGAGAAGGGGCTGGAGAGAAGAAAGAAGAAAGGTAGGGAAAGGAAACTCAGATATGGGTGGGGCGGCAGCAGCGGGCCATGATCACTACCTGCTGGTCTCAAGGCAGAAGTGCAAGGAAGAGAATCAGCAGGAAGAGTATTCTATGAATGTTCTCCCTACCTCTGTCTGCAGTTACCCCCACATCCACGAGTGCTCTCCCTACCTCTGCAAAGTTACTTCTATAAGGTGACAGAAAACTGCATGGAAAGGAACCTGCCAGTGGACAGCAATGGCTCTCTAAGTGCCCCTCTGTTCTTTGGCCAACAGCTTTCCATAAAGCCTCTTCAATCAGAGGAATCGGAACAGAGAAGTCTTGAAACTGAGGCCAGATACAGGATACTCTTGCTCAGAGACACTGACCTCATCAGAAGCGGATGCAGTACTGAACTCATGGGAACCCACGGCTACCTCCCATTTTCTCTACAAGGAGGGAGAAGCTCCCCCAAATTCCAAAAGATCCATTTCCCCCTACTATTCTATTCAAATGCAGCACAAAGAAGTTGTGTTTGTGTGAAAGCACCGGTTGCCCATTCTTCAGTTGAAATTTTGAGACACTGATACTTTAAACTTCTGAACAGGCCCCAACTGCTAGTATTGGAGGCTAGCCCCAATCTCAGGACCCTTGTGCCTGAAAGATCTGTGGGCCCCACCAGCCCTCCCCACCAAGCCCTTTCCCGAGTCTGGCTTACATCATTGCTGATGGTGGAATCTCGGTGTACCAGGCGCTGCACGTGGCTGTCGATGCTGCTGCCCGAGGAGAACTTAGTGAGCGTGGCTGGATGCGCCTCCCGCTGCCTCACTACCACCTCACAGGCCTTCCACTCTGCCAGCACCTGCTGGTACCTCACTGCCACCGCTGTATCCACCTGTGTTCAGACCACACCGTGACCATGAGGGGAGGGTGCTCTAAGGCCTCCTCCTCAGGGCTGGGCAGGCACTGGAACTTCAGCCCTGGAGGGGACGCAGAAGCTAAGATGGCTGGACTGGAGCAGGGCCTGGGGTGAGGGACATGGGGGTGCCCTGCTACCGCTACCACCTTCCTCTGCTATTGCTAGCTGTGGGAGTGGGGCTGGGCTTCCGAGGCTCCTTGGCTGGGGTTGCTTGCCCAGCTGCTATTTCCTTGGTTCTGTAGGAACAGGTTCTCTTACCTGCTCCATCTCCTTCTTGCTCATGCCAAACTTGTAGTGGCCAAGCAGGAAGGGCCAGACATCCTTGCGAATCTCATGTTCCCCCCCGCCACAGTACCCCTGCCGCAGCAGCTCCAGCTCCTTGTAGTTCTGAGGGACCCAGAGGGTAAAGACTGTGCAGCCTCCAGTTACTGTGGCCCAGTAGCTAAGCTACATCCCAGGGAGAGCTGGGCCTGCACTTGAGCAGCTTTACTGAGCCCGGGAACACCCTGCTTGAGGCAGCCATATTCTTCTGTTCCATGGTTGTAGCTATAAGAGGCCTTGTCTCACCTCCTTCCTCACACAGCAGGACAAAGCTTGTCAGATCTCAGATCAATATGGAAGTAGATTGGATTCCCAGCCCAGTCCCTTCCCATTCAGATGAGATTCAGCCATACATCTACAATGCAGGTCACCCCATGGCATCAGTCTCACCTATCTGCTCAATGGCCTACCATGTTTTACACAAACGACCATTAAGTTTAGAGCAGGCAGCTACATGTAACTTGCTGCCCAAGTCCCCATCCCACAGCCTCTACCCCGGGGAGCCCCATTTGCACCTTTTTGTCCTTTTGATACTTGCTCCACACATCCTTGGTAAGGCCCCCTGAGGCCCCTGGGGGCCTGTCTGGTGGAATAATGTTGTGATGCACCAGTGCTGACAGGTGGGTCCTCACTGTGGACAGGTGGCGACAGTATGCCAGCCCTACAATGGGCAAGAAGGAGGCTGTGACTGAGGTGCTTCCCCACCCCCAACCCCTCAGAGCCCCACCTCACCACACACTCACAGCCATAGAAGGCCCGGGACACAATCTGCCTCTTCATGCTCTCACACAGCAGCCTGAGGGGCAACCTGTGGAAACATCCTGGCTCAGAGGGAGGAGACTGTAGCCCACTGGACTGACATTGCAGCTTCAGGGTGCAGGGGCAGGCAAGATGCTGGGGACTGTGTGGAGAGTCGGACATGTAGCTTGGCAGTATGGGAGCGCTGGCCATCCTTGATGTTGCTATTGGGGTCCCGACTGAAACTGACTGTGAAGCTTTTTTTCTCCTAAGACAAGGTCTCTCTGTGTAGCCCTGGCTGTCCTGGAACTCACTCTATAGACCAGGCTGGTCTTGAACTCACAGAGATCCGCCTGCTTCTACCTTCTGAGTGCTGGGGTTAAAGATGGGTGCCACCACTGCCCAGCACTCCAGTGAATCTTGATTTCCTTATGTATAAATGGAGACACTTCAGGGTCAACAGAAATGGCAGGTTAAAAATGAAGTGACAGATGAAGGAGACTATCCAGTCAATGGGTCCAAACTGTTCCATGTTGTTTTCAGACATGGTAGTACTAAGTGTTCCAGACACACGGCTTGACAGTGGGGCTATGTCCATAACAGGAAGGTGAGCAGAGTATAGCATCTATTATGTGGCGGCACAACTCTAGGCATTCACGTGGTCCTCGCCTGCTTTAGGAAGGAAGTGCATCACCCCTTATTGCAGGGGAGAAAACTGAGGTTTAGAAACATAGAAGCACCAGGCTTTTAATCTCAGTACTCGGGAGGCAGAGGCAGGTGGATCTCTGTGAGTTGGAGGCCAGCCTGGTCTATAGAGTGAGTTCCAGGACAGCCAGAGCTACACAGTGAGACCCTGTCTCAAACAAAACAAAATGAAACAAAAGCAAAGACAGAGGCTCACAAAGACTCAGCAACTTGCTGAAGTCATGTAGGTAGCATAAATGAGATTTGAATCCAGGTCTGTCCAATTTAAAGAGGCCACCCTGACACGCCAATGGCAGCGCCTATAAGGACAGAAGGATAAATGTGGATATGCATTAACAGGAGGCTAGTGCCCATCCTTCCCACTCACCTGTCAGGAATACAGCTGCAGTGACTGGGGGTTGCATATGGGGAGCTACTGGAGGAGCAGGAAAGGCAGGAGGAGCCCTGGCTACACAGGGGCTCTAGGTGCCAGGCTGTCAGGTTGGGTCCAAAACCCTGCATCTCAATCATGTCACCAGCATCTGAGGGCAGGAAGGGGCCAAGGTCAATGCCTGGTAGGCTTCCTCCCCCAAGTGCCCTGCAGCATGCCCACCTCTGCCCAGAGCTGCAGATGAAATCACCCATTGGTAGAAATTCACAAGGTGGTGCCTGTGTGGTTGAGAACCCAGAGATGTAGATGGTAGGAGGGTGCCTGACACTGCCCAGCTTCCCCTGAGCCTGGAGAAGACGGAAGGAAGCTTTTCCCATGTAATGGAATACTGGGACTGCATGGTGGGTATTTGTCTACCCACCTCCACCAATGCCAGAGAACATATGCTTTCCTAGAGGAGAGGTTAGAAGAGCAAAGGCCTTCACTCCGCAAACACTGCAAGTTAGCCTTAGCCTTTCAGGCTCAGCCTGTTTCTTCCTGAGATGCTCAGGGACATGCTTGGAAGCCCCAGCATTAATAACTAAAATCCCTGAGGGAGCCTCATGTTATCTTTCTCACTACCCTTGACTATCCAAGTTCTGGTGGCCAGTGGCTAAGTGGAAACAGTGCTTCCTGCCCAAACCAGACACCCTGAGGCCTACTCTGAGGGCACTTAGCATGGTAGCTCTTGTGTGAGCTGGGATGGAGGGGAACTTCCCAGAGCTGGCAGGGTGGAAGTGGTGTCTGGATACATGGACCCAGTGGTCCACCACACCAGTCATAGCTGACCATGCCACAGTGCAGCATCATAGACAGAAATGTCTCAGCCATCCCTGCTGATCTAGATTAGAACCAGGTCAAGACTCTTAAAAGTTTCTAGGGCCAAAATGGGACCGAACACTGTTCAGGGTTGATATTCGCCAGGAGCCACAGAGATGAAACACGGTGAAGGTGGCAAGTGAAAGACTCTGGTATCACCATGAGGGAGGGAGGTGCAGAAAGAGTGAAGAACGAAGAGAGCTATGTACTGAGGTCTTTTCAGCAATGGTTTTCCAGGACTGCATGGTGGGTATTTGTCTACCCACCTCCACCAATGCCAGAGAACATATGCTTTCCTAGAGGAGAGGTTAGAAGAGCAAAGGCCTCCACTCCTGCAAACACTGCCAGTTAGCCTTAGCCTTTCAGGCTCAGCCTGTTTCTTCCTGAGATGCTCCTGGGTCAATGCTCTTCACCTTAATTCTCCAGGAAGGAGCTGAACCAGCCAGCATTGCACACTCTACATGTGACAACCCAGTGCAGACAGCTGGAGCTCTGGAGTGACTGGGTGAGTGACTGGTGAGACAGCAGGCTGGACAGGGGTCTGCTGGGTCAGCTTTGACTCTGACTCTCTCCTCTGAGCATGAGGAAATCTAACAAGAGACCCTGACTCCTCACAGTCTGGAGGCCGAGGCCTGGTGGTTTTGGATTCCCAGACTCCAGCTCTGGGTGTGCCTTGGTGGAGAGGGCTGAGCTGATATCCCTCCTGTCCCCTCAAGGGCTGCCTTGCCTTGTTCCCCCACTCCCCCACCCATGGGTAGGATTGTGTCAGCATCTGGCCCTTCAGCTCCACCAGGAGGCA